GTACTAATTCATTTTAGAAATAGTTCTTCCTCAAATCTTCCTAATAATTTTAGGAAAATTTCTTCTTTCAAATAAATTATGGATTTGGTAAAAACAATATGTAAGAGAACAAGGAAGAGCCAAATTGTAATTAATCTTATAAAGAAAGTTATAGTAGTTATATATATATATAATTATTTTTTGGGCCTCGTCAGTGTTATAAACGCCTTACACAAATTGCCCATTGTAAAAATATCTTGGAAAAAATAGAACTAATGACGTCATGAAAGCATTGCCCCCAAGGTTGTTAAGGGTCGAGAGGAATTTCATTTAAATGTTTTATTTAATTGGTTTTGTTTGACATTTCAATGTTTTATTCAATTGGTTTTGTTTGACATTTCAATATTTTATTTAATTGGTTTTATTTGTCATTTCAATGTTTTATTTAATTGTTTGTTTTTTTGTCATTTTAATGTTTTATTTGATTGGTTTTGTTTGACATTTCAATGATTGGTTTTGTTTCAGCCGGTCTCAACTGTTCCCAATGTAATAACCGGTTTGGTGGCATCCCGAACACGTGTGTGTCGCCCAGGAATCTCACCGGATGTATGGGCTGTTTGAAGACACTGACCAAGGTCAAGATCAGAGACTCTGGTTACATCAATGGCTGGGAGAGATGTGAGTACAAGGGTGGGAGGGGAAAGAACGAAATAACTAAATAGAAAGAACGAATGAGAGAGAGTGAGACAGAAAGAGAGAGTGAGAGAGAGAGAGAGAGAGAAATAGAGAGACAGAGAGGGGGAGACCGACAGACAGAAAGGGAGAAAGGAAGAAATAATTTTAAAACATTTTTAAATTAATAACAAAGAATGGTACAAAGGGCAGCAAGAGTAGTCTCGACTTATGCATGATACGTGTAGTATCCTAGAGGGCAGCAGGAGTAGTCTTGATTTATGCATGATACATGTAGTATCCGAGAGGACAGCAGGAGAAATGTACCACAGTCTTCTTGCTTCCCCCCACCCCGGTATACTACATTTCAGCTAAGCGTTATTTTTATTTAATTCTGTTTTTACTGTTGTCTATTCGTGGACGAAGGCTTCTTGTCGACACGTTCGTTGTTTTGTTGCGTTCCTTTGTTCATGTTTTCCCATGCTTTTTTTTTTCACTCATACCCAATTTCTTTTAGTTCTGTCCCATTGAAGAAAATTAATTAAGTATTATCGAATAAAGACAAAGAAAGCTTCTTTTTATCCTAAACATAATATCATCTTATGTCGATGTTTCAAACAAATAAACTACGTGGTCATATTTTTAGGGGAGGCAACTCAATTATATGGTTTTTTTTTAATTTTTATTTTGCTTTTATCAGTGTCCGTGGTTGTGTCCCGCGTCTGCATGAGACCAGGATCCACTTACGTCAAACCGGAAGGGTGCTACAGGCAGCAGAACAATGGCGGCTACACGGAGCGCTGCTTCTGCTACACGGACAACTGCAACTCCAGAGCCTCGAGGACGACAGCTGGATTCCTAGCGCCTCTGCTGTCGTCATCGTCTCTACTGGCTGGCCTTACGACGTGGTGGATTATAACCAGCACGTCACGAAATGGTGGATTATAGCCAGCACGTCACGAAATGGTGGATTAAAACCAGCACGTCATAACATCGTGGATTATAGCCAGCACGTGACAAAATGGTGGATTAAAACCAGCATGTCATAACATCGTGGATTATAGCCAGCACGTCACAACATGGTTGGATTATAGCCAGCACGTCACAACATACAACACAGTGGCTTATAGCTGATAATCACTCATGGAAGTCAGCTTCAATGTGTAGAGAAAAAAAATGGTGGATTATTATAGACATCGTTTCGCAGGATTTAATATAAAGGGTGGGGGGGGTAGTAAATTTTGGAACGTTATAAGAAATATTGATTGGGGGGGGGGGCGGTGGAAGAAAGACAATATAAAATAGCGGCGCATCACCCCTCCCCCTTTTTTTCCCCCAACCCGTCAGTTACACCTCAGATTTCGAGTTCAGTAAGCTCCGATCCGTCCACCAGGTTTGAGAGTACAGAAGCGATGACAAACAATTCTTGTTGATGACGTCTTCGTTGTTATCCGTCAAGCGTGTGGTGAGTCTAAAATATGAATTCATTCAAACATAATTGTGGACTCATGAGGCTGACCCCGTCTGGCAGTAATTGTATTCAACGGGTACCATCGCGCCCCCTCCCCATCCCCAGGAGCGTAGCTAGGTTTAGTGCCACTCGGGGCAGCAAAGATTTTTGCCGCGCCTTCCCCACAAAAAAAAAAAAAAAAAAAAAAAAAAAAAAAAAAAAACAAAAAAAAAAAAAAAAAAAAAACCAATTCCGGAGTTGACCGACAATGTCGCCTCTCAATACATAGAAAAACATATGCAGTCCGGGGCGGACTGTCCCCCTCCACCCCACCCTTCTTACGCCAACGATTGCACCCACAATCACAACGGAGCTACACTGTGATCATTTTCTGAACAATCAATAAATAAAAAAAAAAAAAAAAAAAAAGAAACACAAAAAAAAACAAAAAAAAAAAAACCAATTCCGGAGTTGACCGACAATGTCGCCTCTCAATACATAGAAAAACATGTGCAGTCCGGGACGGACTGCCCCCCTCCACCCCACCCTTCTTACGCCAACGATTGCACCCACAATCACAACGGAGCTACACTGTGATCATTTTCTGAACAATCAATAAACAATATTTTGTTTGTTGGTGAGAGTTGATAAGCGCGTGGACTGATTTCATTATGTTATCATCATCACCACCGTGCAGCATGAATTTTTGTGTTTGTATTCCATGCTCTGTGTCTCTAATTAGTCTAATGTGGACAATGCAGTTATAATCCACGTATTGGTCGCTGTGTATATCATGTGATTAAAGACCATATTTAGGGATACCCCTTTTGCGTCACCGTCAAAGCTTACTTTTCAAACATGGAAAAAAAATACACAAGTTCATTGACAGGGTGAAGTAAACAAATGCTAAGTGAATGAAATATTTCAGTTGACCGTGGTCAGAGTCATATACGAGTGCCGGTGAATGAACTATTTCAGCTGACCATCGTAAGAGTCATGTAGCAGTGTCAGTGAAGGAAATATTTCTGCCTGCCATCGTGGGAGTCTTGAAACACACAGAGTGTGCAGTATTCTTCTTCTGAGATTACTTTGTAGTATCAGGTCACCTGGAACAAGCTATTTACAATACATCTCATGGGCTCTTTACTCTTATTCACCCAGTCGTGGCCTGCCATGGACAACTGTTCGGGTGGCGAGTGCAGGGGCTCTAGTGGTAGCTCTGGTTCTTGGACACGTCGGAGGTATGGTGGAGGTCCATCCGGCCAACAACACGACCCAAAATCATTACAGCGTGTTGTAACAATCATTACAGCAGGTTGTAACAATCATTACAGCAGGTAGTAACAATCATTACAGCAGGTTGTAACAATCATTACAGCGGTAGTAACAATCATTACAGCAGGTTGTAACAATCATTACAGCAGGTTGTAACAGGAGCAGAAATTAACAATCATTACAGTCATTACTTTTATCTCTGGATTGGTTCTTGGTGTCGCAGTCTTAAGAAATTATTTTTTTGATATAACAAGCTAACCAACAATCGAACCAACAATAGTCATGATGTTTTACAAGCTACCAATCCAAGCAACAACGTTCATCATGTTTTACAAGCTATCAATCCAAGAAACAATAGTCATCATGTTTTACAAATTACCAGAGATGTATTAGATAATAATGTTAAAGGAAGTTTATAGCCAAGACTTTTTAACAAAAAGTGTGTGCAGAATATTTTTATCAAAAATTAGAAGAAAAAAAAGATGAAAAAAGTATTTTCTTAGGAAATTTATTGGAATTCTTTGGCATCATGGAGTGTCTTTACGATCTTTTTGCACATACGCACTTTGCGTAATAAATTGTAAGAAATTTTTAGATTAACTATTTTCTACTTGTTAGTGCGTTTACATTCTTCTTCGAAAGTCTTTTTTAAAAGTTTGTTTTTATTTTTTTTTTTAAACTCATTCTTATCCATTCATTCCGCATTTCTTTTTACATGACGTTGAAAAATGTACACCTTGATGCCTTGAATTTTACATACAGTGTTAGAGGAAGGAGAGTCACGGAATTTGTACACTATTTGAATCTCGAAAAGTCTGAATTTAAATTGTCCATATATGCTGGTCATTTATTAATTTTTCGTTACGCCACAGAATCACTGAATGTCCATGTTACATTGTTTTGTTCCATAATTTCCTTGGCCTGTATATTTTAATGATGATGAGTGACGTCTCGTCGGCTTATGCTTTTATTAAATATGTTGTACAGTTGTGTACTAATAAATCACTGAACTATATTCAAATCAATTCTTGTTTTTTTAATATTTTGATTATTTAACGAAAAATCTACAAATATGACTTCCTTAATATTTGTGTATGTGTGTGTTAAATTTTTTTTTTTTTTTTTTTTTTTTTTTTTTTTTTTATTTTTTTTTTTTTTCCCCCCCCCCTTTTTTTTTTTTTTTTTCGTTTTTAAAAAAAATATTTTTCGCACTCGAGACAAATGGGTTTAATAATTTCCATTATATATCAACACTTTCCACTACCCCCCTCTATAAAACACAAGATTCCCGTTTTACTGACAATTGTGTTTCGGATACAGCTGATCACACAATATGTTTTAAACCAAACGGAATGTGAACTTATGATCTTGTTTAATATTAATTAATGCCATTAATGCAGTTACATAACTTTACGATTTTACCAAATACGAAGCGAGGTGCAAATTTAAAATAACCCTATGTACCTTTCGTGCCAATAAATGTCTTAATGTAAAACAAAATAAACATCCTAAAATAAATCAAGGTAAACATTTATTTTTTAAAAAGTTTATAAGATAAAGAAATAAGCGAATTTACCTTTAGCATAACTTTGAAAGTAGCCACCCTTGATGTTTTACCTGTCCACTAGATGGCAAACTAGGGCACTACTTCCGCTTGTGATAACAAGTGACTGTTTAGAATTGGTGGAAAGCAAAATAAAGTGAAATGAATTATTTACTACAAGCTCTTGTTATTCTAACAAGTTTGCCATTAATGGGTGAGATTATTTAACTTGGAAAATATCCCCAAAACATTTCATTTATTTTCATAACTGTATATACAACACACCTGACTGCAAACACCTGGGACCTAACCAGGAAATGACCTCTTTTTATTTTAATCACTTATTGAGATTTAGGCTTAAACTTAATATTGGTTAGTATAATAATAAAAGAGTTGGTTATAAAGTTTTGAGAAGTCCAAAGAGTTGAAGGCTACTTTATAAATTATCATTGAACCCCTTTCCTCTCAATAAAATCAATGTATTTTTTTAAATCGAAAGTTATTTTATAGTAATAGTTATGTTATAGTTTAAGTATGAAAATGAGTACAAGTGTAAATGCATAATAATTTAATAGTAGGTGATTTTGTACACTGAACTGAGTGTTAGTATCACTCACCCAAGTCACTCAGACTCAACATAGTCTAACTCTAAAATTGTTTATGAGAACAGAGAGTGGACCTTCACTTTTTTGAAGTTAATCTATCTATACATAAAAGTCTAATACTATAGTATAGACTATACTAATAATTCTATTAATACAATACAAGTTTCTAATTTCTTTAAATATTTATTTTTCTCATTTTGAGCCTACTCAGTTGTTACTGAGACCTATTACTATTCTCATTTTATTAATTTTTAAAAAATTGAGCAAGATAACTGATTAGAACCACAAGTTAATAATAATAATAGTATCTCAGCTTCACAAAAGTTATGTCAGTTGTGAGCAAGGAATAATTTAAAATAAAGAACAAATACCCTACAATAACCCATGCTTTATTATGCCATGCCATATGTTTTTGTTTTTTTTATTAACCTGTAGGTTTTATCATTAGTGCTATTCTAAACTAAATAGACACATTTTATTTTTTAATAATAGTAAGAAAACTAAACAAAGTTCCATGGCTAACACTTAAAGGGGATTCTAATGGTGAAAAAAATGGGGTGGGGGGGGGGGGTGTTGTGTGTGTGTGCTGCGATCAGGTTACACAAGAAAAAGAACCAAATTGTAGAGGACATCCTGTAAACAAAACAAGGGAGGTAACAAAGGTCTTTCTTCAGCAAATGTGTAAAAATTTAAAAGAATTTCTTGGTGTGAAAGAAAGATGTGTTAGGTTCCATGAGAAAACTGATTTTATCAGAGAATAAGTAGAGTGGTTGTGGAGATATAAAGAAAGAAAGAGAGTAAACAGTTCATGGGATCTCGACAAGTAAAGCAATGGGTGAGAATGTTTGTTAATCATTTTTTGTTAATGGTGCACTCATGCCATGGGGTTTCGGTGTCGCAAATGTGTGTAAACAATCTATTCTCCAACCCCATCCTGGCTGAGATGACCATAAATGTTAGAAGAAAGAATTATATTTCCTCATTATTAGCAAAGATTTGGAGAAAGCCTTTCAAAAGAAATATATATGCATGTCATTGCAGCAAAAATATTAATCATAATCTGCTGTAAATTTATTTAAATGTTGCTGCAAAACTCCATTAACACAATACCAATGACCCTGTGTTCCTATAACTGATTGGCAAAGCTAATGACATTTTTTACTGCAATGTTGTTTTTTCTACTTTTAGACACACCTGACAACTTATTTAAAACAATATTATTATTTTTTTTTAAAAAGACCAACTTAGTGCTGCAGAGGAAGACATAACATGTTTCACACTCCCAGAAATGAACCATTCAATTTGGATCAGAAGAGGTCTGGAGCTTTAGTCTATTTCCTGCCTCACACTGTGGCAGAGTGGCTTGTTGCCTTTTTATTACACACAAAAGTTTTCCCATTTTTCCTGGGTCAGCCAGCAGGGCTGCAATGTCAAGATTTTTTTGTATCCGCATAAATTAATATGGACGGCACCTAAACAACACATTTCATCATATTTCATCTTCAGAATGTGCACTCCAGTGCTACCAGTGTCAGGTTCTTGCTGATATCAAATGTCGGGACCCTTTCTCTGATGAAGCCAAGTCATTGTTTGCTGGTGATTGCGACGATGGAATGGTCTGCGCCAAGTACACGACTGTCGTCAAGATCCGTGACTCTGGCTACATCCAAGGATGGGAGAGACGTGAGTAATCTTGGCTTGAATGTGGAATAATTTTTGTGTTCTTAATCTTGAATACCTTTATTAAGATGACCGTGAAGATGGAAAATACACTCATTGGTCATTGCTTTAAATGAAACTTCGCTGTAAGATATTTTGTCACTGAAATATTGGCTTGTAGTTTGATATAATATTTCATGAGCATTTTAGGCTTTTAGTCAGATATGAAAACTAATTTTTTTAAATGTACTTTGCAAGAATTTTTTTGACCCTCCTTTTCTTAACAGATTCAAAAGTAGTTACTAGAAGTTGTGAGCAAAAGACGGGCAAACCAGACGGGTGCTATGGGTGGCAGAACAATGGGGGGATAACCATCAAGTGCCACTGCTCAACTGAGCTCTGTAACTCTGGACATTCACTTCATCCTGCCACTTGGAAAGTTGTCATTTCATTCTTTCTGTCACTGTTTTTGTTTATATTTGTAAGGCTGCATTGATCAGAGTGTGTGTCTCTACTGAGTGATTTTGCTTAGTGTGGGTGGAGCAGTTTAAAATAATGGGCCATTAAAGTTAAGAAAATTTATCTTTAAAACATATTAGAATAATTTAACACTGGTAAAATTTTACCACCATCACGGCTTAAAAGACATTTTTTTATACAAATGTTAGGTGGCTGTACCGATAATTTGTTATAATGAATTTCATTAAAAAAAAAAAAGGCTGGCAACTGTCTTACAAAATGACTTTTGGAAAATGTGGGTCTTCATTTCCATATCCCTTTTTTTTTTCTTTTGTTTTTTTATCACGTTTAACTAAAAGGTTGTAAGTTTGTAAGGTTCTCATTCTGTTTAACCAACAAAGTTGCACAGTTGTAAAGGTTTAGTAATGAATTTTTAAATATGTCACTGCTATGAAAGTGTTGTGAAGAATTATGTATCTTCCAAAAGAGTGGTTGAACATTTTCTTTCAGGAGTTGCTGTGCATCAGTGCTTGTGAGATAGTTTGTTCTTGCATGTTCATGAGACTGGTTGAATGGATGAAACTGTTAAGTGCTTCAAGAATGGCAAAACTAGATGTATGTGTTGTTTATCTTATGTTGGCATGTGTAAATAAATGGTAAATGTACATAGATTGATACTGATGTGAATATCTCATTCATTTTTCATTTAATAAGAACCCATGTTTATTAATGCATTCTTTTTTTCTGCTGATGAATTTTAATTTGAATGTCAAAAAATATCAAAATTCATTAAGAACATAATTAATCACTCTGTATGTACCATAATTTAAAAGTACTGTAATACAAGTTCACAGTTGCATTCAGCTTATTTTCCTTTGAGCCTCTGGCAGTTTGCATTGCCTTGTATATTATTTCAGTAAGTAAATAATTAATAGTTTACAATTATGGCCAATGATGTAACAGATTGAAAAGTCATAAGTACAAAGTAATTTTATTAAAAAGACGTTTAAATACATTGATGCTGATTAGACTGTAGGTTGAGAGGGTTCTTAGTATGTACCAGGTTGAAATCATTGGTTCATTGTATACCGGTACATGAAATCTTTTATTACATTTAAATTGTATGGCATAATTTTGAGCTGCCTTTGGTGGTATCAAAGCTGGATAGTCTTTTTTTTTAATACATTTATTAAGTTTTAATAAGCATAACTATTTGTTAACAATATGTTAAAATACTTCCAGGCAATGATTGTAGTGGCTGCTCATGAATACTACTAGTTTGTAAAATGGTTAATATTCTGTGACTTTTTAACATTCCATTCTGAATAAAATTTTAATTTGTTTGCCTGGATTCAGTTTTTTTCCCTTTCTGTACATTCCGATAGTAAACATTTTTACAATTATACTCATGTATTTGTTTTATAAATAAATAAAATTATACAATGGTCTTGATAACTTATTACTTCTTTTTATTTACAACTTCTTGGCCATCTCGAGTTTTCTGATCTTAGATTTCTCCTATTAGCTTTTTATTATGTTAAATTAAATTACTCTCTCAATTTATTATCAAAACATGAAAGCATAATCACAGAAATAATCAAATGTCCATGATGTGTCACTAATTTGATAATTTATTCATCAAAGTCAATTACTGATAGCACTTATCACAAAGTATTATACCATTAACTTGAACATGAAGAGACTTTTCATTGACATTACTAATCACATTTAAGCATAAGCATTTTATTTGCTTAAATATGTTTGGGCTTACAAATAATCAACAAATAGCTATTAATTTTAATTTAATTCAGATTTAGTGTTTCTGAATCTTGAAAAACAGCAGCTTTAGTTTGGCCTTTGCATGGGTGTACTAAACATAAGCAGGGAAAAAACTTAGAAACAACTGTTTGAACTAAAATGACCTGTGTATAAATTGATTCATCAACAACACTTGACTAAAAATATTTCCAAAGGCTGTATAGCCTAAAATGATTTACAATGGAATGAGTTGAGAACCACCAAATGAAATAGTTAACAGTATCATTTCTATTGTTTCATTAAAACAAATGATTCACAGTATTGCTCAGTCTGATCAAAGAATTTATCAGAAAATAGCATACAAAGACATTATTTTAATTGTTTAATCCAATACTGCTGTTAATGCCATTGTAAGTAAAAACAAATGAAATTGACATCAACCTACATCACAAGTTAACAATTAAATACAGCAAACTACTAAAATTTTTCAGCTCCTTACTTCTACAACGTTAAGAACAGGAAACAATAAAACATATAAAAAATGCTGGTACAAAGAAGAATTCTGACGTGGAAGGAAATAATGGTCAATTTGGAACACAATTTATCTTACAAAATAAATACAAATGTAAAAAAATGGAATCATTTATTTAAAATTGAAGACAGTGCTATAAGCCAAGCCTGCTGTATTTTGTACATGTCTGGAGCCAACAGATGTTTTCATATCAGAAGACAGTGCTATAAGCCGAGCCTCATGTGTTTAGCAAATGTCTGGAGCTAACAGATATTTTCATATTTGGTAAAGAAGAAAAATATAAAACCTAACATTCTGTTTCTACAAAAATAAATGTTAGACTCAAGTTATTTGTTTCCTCACAAATGATTTGTCTTCCCGTTATCTTCTTCTAGATGTTAACTTATAAACAAAAATATTACAATTACAGCACAACTTTTAATTTTATGAATGAAATATACATTGAACATTTGCAAACAATTAAAGGCTATACTCCTTAAATCAAATTGAGCAGCTTGGACAAAACATCTCCAAATAATTTATTTTTAAAAATCACGGTTGTGAATGATGAAAAAAATACCAAAAGTTTTCTATGATTAAAGTATTGGATCAGAGTCTAATTATTTTATAACAGGTGGGCAATGCCACAACAAAATTAGGAGATGATATCAAGACAGTTTTTTTTAAAAAGGCCCTTTAAACCTTAATTAAAATATGCTCTCAAAGATTATTAACCCGTCTGGTTACAAAAAAACAACAACAAAGCGGTAAACTTAAAAAGCAGAATACCCATAAATTTTTTAGATTCCTTGTCTATAAGAGGCTTCCAGATTTGTCTTTCCTTAGTATGAGTCAAAAGAAAAGATCATGTAATTTAACATCTAGATCCCAAGTGTCATTTAATGCCAAGTGTAGATGTCTGAAATTAATACCAGTACCTGCAAAGAAGTCACTGAATCTGTTCAGAGCATGTAAATAATGTACATGCAAGGAGAGTGAATTAAGATTTGAATAATTTCTTTTTGCTTTGCTAATCATCTTGAAGATTATGCTGTCAAAATGTTTTTAAAAAAATCTGCCTAATATATTTTAATAAGGTCATTATGATACTTGGTACTGTGTAAACTTTAAATCAAGGTGTAAAGAACACCTCAGTTCCTCTTGAGCTTTCCTTTTTTTTTTAATGTCACAACTAGATTCTTCTTATAAGATTTATAAATTTAATTTTTGTAAATGAAAGCATTGTCAATGCTAGCAAACCTTAAGATTCAGCAAGATTACCTTGACGTTCATATGACTCAAGTACAGAATTATTTCAAGAGAGCAAACACTTTCAGAGTAGCTGGAGATAAACATAAATATAAAATTGTCTAATACTTTAGTTAAACCAGTTAATATTTTTATTTACATAAGCATCAACAATCATATGTGGTTCAAAGAATATTTCAGATAAAAATGCAAATTTTCCTCGCTGGAGGAATGGAAGAAAATTTTGCATCAAATTTTAAAAATGCTTGTTTGCATGGACAGTTGGAACGACAATCCTTAGCTTAAAATTAAAGAAAGATTATTTAGAACTTAAACTCGTTAAATCTGAACTATTCATCCTCCCACCCACCCTGCAGTTTTCAAGCAAGTTATTTGAATACAATGCCCTGTCTATAAAAAACTGATTCATAAAGAACAATTGATTATAAATATCCATCCATCCAGGACAAAAAAACCCAATAACATCAATTAAATGCTTTTTAGCAGGTTTAGTTTCTAGCGTCTCTTTTCTACCATTCTCCATATCTCAATCTCCTTCTTTCATTGACCAACTAGATCATTTGTTCCCAATCAATGGATTATGTCATGAAAGATAACCAATGAACTGCAACATAAGATTTTTTTATACAACTAGGTGATGAAGTGCTAAGAATTGATAATCCGCATTTTTTTTATAGTTGACTTTAAGATGAGTAAATAATAAGTCAGTCTCAATCCACTGGTGAACAAATATTATCGTGAATTTTTAGGTGTGCTTGAAACACTGCGAATGTCTCTGTGGTCCTGGTAACTGCCTCGGTCACGCTCCTTGGCCACACAGATATTTGACCTAGACAGGGATTTGGATCTTGACCTCACATGATGCTGGTGTGATGGCACCAACGAGTTTCCGTTGGGCGTTAATGAGCGAGACTTAGAATGCCTGGATCTTTTTCTGTAATCAGACAACAATAAGAGATTACTACAAATTTACTGATACACAGTGAAAGGAGATTACAGTGTTGGGTGTATTGACCTCAACAACTAATGTCAGGTTCTACCTTTAAAACGCATTACAATTTGTGTTAGTAGATTGATCCCAAGGTATCAACAGTCATGGTAGTGCAGTGACTTATGTATTGATTATGGGTTTTTAAAATGACGTCAAAATTATCCTGCCAATTACACGAATGACATGACAACCAATAAATATTAACTCATTCCCTCCGGCAGTGCTACTTCCGGACTTAATTTATTTTCCTGAGAAAAGGGAAGCAACTCAGTTTTGAAATTGATTTACATTTTTTAAATATTTTTTTAAGTTGCTAAATAGTATTTAATGTTAATGAATTAAGAACAAATGCAACAAAAAATGAATTAAGTTTAATATAAATATAACATTAGCGGGGAAAAAATAACGAACAATGGCCAAAAAATCGATTTTCGGCACCTCGGACGAACACATGCCACATATAGACGCGCCGTACTAAAGCACGCGTAGTTTTAAAGTGAAACAAGATAAAAACTTCGGGTTTCTAAATTAAAATCACGCAGAAACCACGCCATAGCCGGAAGTCTCGAGGGACGCGAGATTTCATTGCTATTTTTAACTAAAAATAAGAGAGGTGTGTCGCTATGCGCCGGGACGCATTTGGACGCATCAGGAGGAATCCCCAGAGGACGCATTTAGTCGCAACAGTCGGGAATGAGTTAATTTAAAAAAATAAACCATTTATACAAATTTATTTCTTTGCCGGTTTGAGTCATAATTTGACTGCTTACGATTTGCTGGCTGATTCAGACTCAGAGTCACTCTCACTATCCGCTGATTCAGAACTTGTGTCACTTGACGAGGATGATGCTGAGCTGGAACTGTCTGAGTTGAAGCCAGTTGGTTTACTAAGGTCAATCTTGTTTGCCATGGCAGCCACTTCAGGTCTCAAGGCCTAGTGAAGGGTGATAATTAGTAAACATTCAAAAAAGAATAGAAAACCAAAGCATGGAATTAAATAAAATTCATCAGTGAATCATATTATTTAAGACATAAACAAATATAAAATAATAATATAATGTATACATTTTTTATGGCATATTTATTTTATAGAAATTTGTTATAACAATCCCAACATTTCTTAGCAGAATCCCACTGTACTGACTCCTTGAAAATGTTTTTTTATTACAGGATAAAAACCTAAGAAGAAATGGACCGCTAAGTTTCTATGATGAAAAGTACATTATGACAGTGGGGCAGCTGAACAATACAGCAAATCAAGCCTACCTTAAGTGCTCGTAACCACTTCTTGGACAACTTTGGCCTCCCCCGAACAGTTTTGTGCCAGACAATGGGAAAGTTGATAATGCTGCAGAAGTTTTGTGTGACTGCTATTGTGTCATCAAGGTTAATGACCACATGCCACCAGCCACCCGGCACAAACACAGTTTCACCAGGATGCTGGATGATCTCCAGCTAAAAATCAGAAAAGTGGACATCCACAATTGAAAAAAAAAACGATTTATTTTACTCAATAAACATTAAAGACATCATGGGACTAGTGAACAAATATTTTAAAAAGAATTTGGTCATTTATTACATTTTTACAGTCAAGGTCCAATGTGAAAGAAGAGACAAATTATCTATTTTAAACATCCATTGCCATTACCCCTGGCTGTCGTTTTCCCCAATTCCCACTATGTCAGGCAGCCCCTTGCGAGTCGGATTGTTAGCTATGATGCTTGTTCGGGGCACTTAAAAACTAAAATTCTATATATTTGTTTGCTAACATTCAGTTACTCTCACGAGAATGACACATTTTTTGTTTGTGAGGAAAGCTGTTTCTTTTTAACTTCTTTCATAATAAAGTTACAAGAGTTCAAAGTTCATCAAGTCTTTCTCAGCTCATGCTCGAGGACATTTAAAGTTTACTTGACTAGCAAGTTTAGATGATAAAAAAAATCAAACATATCAATACAAATTCTATTGGAATTAAAGTAGAAAGTAATATTGATGATATTATTGTTGAAATTGAAGATATATCTAAAACAGACTTTTTAAAAAAATCTATACTGATAAGACTAATGCACCCATGGTTAACTTCAGATTCAGATATTAAAATTGTATGGTTATTCTCTAAATAACATTATTTTTTATCTTATTAATAAAATTTCATTCAATTTTAAATTTAATTAAATTTAAATAACAAAGACTTTCAATTTATTTTATTTCTTTGAAAAAATTTTTTTTTAAAAGAGTTCATGTGGCTTTGAGGTATTTTGTGTCAAAAGCTGGTTAGACCATACTGGGTTCAAAAAATATTACTTGAAACAAGAATTATATAAATGCACTAGATTTCAGGCTAACATCTACAAGCATGACAATAGTTACAAGATGTTTACTTTCACAGGATAATTATAGCATGGATTTGAAATATATATTGTTAGAGGTGCAGGTGATATGGCGCCCACTATAACTTGTTACACCGCTTAGAAAGACATTTATTCTTTGAATGTTCTGATTCTCTGATACCATTTTGTTCTAATTCAGCTCATTAACATTCTGATTCAGTAGCCCTTGGTGCAAGTGCCATTCAGCCTGCTCTCATGCAGGAGAAAAGTAAAAAAACTCACCGGCTGGTATTCTTTGGGCCAGTCTGGGCTTTTCACCCTAGGATAGATGTATCTGAACCAAGTGATGGCCTCATCTTTCTGCCTGCCTCCAATATCTGAGCTTACCTTCAGGAGTTCTCGTGGGGTGTTGGTCGGAAGTAAGCACCACCTATAAATTTTAGCAATAAATGTATATAATACCAGTGAAAAGAATGAATTAAAAGGCATTAACCTAAATGCTGTGCATATGACATTCAAAGAGAGAAAATAGAGATTTATTTTGGGCTTTGAAAATGTGGAGTAAAATATTATTTCAGGGACTGGTATAAGACAAACAATTATTATTAGTTCCTAATATATAATTATTTTTGAATATTTTATTAGCCAAAAAGTTTCCTTGACAGTGAAACAGATAGCAATAATGAAATAACTATTCCTGTCATAAGACAAATGCTTTCTGCTTTAAACAGATCGCAACAAAAACATATCTATTCCAATGCTCATTGCATAAGTTATATTTCTGGTATCCTAAATACTAAAGCATCATTAGGAAGACATCTTTAAAGTAGGACAGCTGTTCAATGCCTACCTTTTATGACCTATGACAAGGGCATTCCATGCACTGGTTCCCAATGGATCAATATGGATGCCTGTTCCTGACCTTGCTGGTCCCATTACGAACCACCTAAAACAATTAATTTAGTGTATCACTTTCTATTACACTTTGGTGTGAAACAAAACCAGTGACAAACCAATTTTCTTAGCTGTACTATCTATATATACTTACAAAATCTGTCATTGAAAGACATTAGAATTTCTGATACATTAATTTTAAAGTATTTTTTGGTCAATTCAAGGTTTTATAATTTTAAACAAAAAGATAGGTTCAGAATATAGTTAAATATATATATCCAAAAGAGCTCTAATACATATAACACTGTTTCTCATATGGTTTTCTCACTGCTGTAACTGTTTTATACTGTTGTGTTTTTTGTGCAGGTTTTGTCCTATGTTTGACCGGCAGATTCAATGAAAATGTTATTTTGCTTTGGTTATTGTTCTATGTGTTCCATTTACTCCCAGGGCTGGAGAATGACTGGAATGGAATGTGCTTGGATTTAAACCCCCACAGTCTAAATTTTTTTTGTCATCTATCTTACTGATTTTAAAGACCTAAGAAAATGACACTCAAGAATATAAGGTTAAAGGGCCAAGGATCACAAGTTTCTCAGTTACAGAGGCTATATGAATTTTTGCTACTAAGACTAGTATTTTAAAACTATTACTAACCGATACGGTGGTCGCCTGTGTTCCCCAGCATACTTGAATAAGTCATCTCTGAAGAATTTGGGCACCTCATAATCTTCTAAAAGTTTCCTACGTTTAGGATGCTACAAAAATGAGAAGCTTTAGCAAAAAAAATTATGTGATTGATTTACTACAGTGGGGCTTTGGAATCCGAATGAAACTTTCCAGCCATGTTTTGTTTGAAACACCAAAAGCTGCTTTGGAATCCGAAAGCCCAAAACGGGTTTCATGTGTTTTTTTGTGCATACAGCCCCATACGCTTTGATATTCAGTTCATTGTTAGAGGCTGTTGTAGTGAAAGCATCTTGTGAGTTTTTACTGCTAATTTTATGCATCTATGCATGTTTTGTGTAATTTTTTTATGTAACAACTTAATATATTCGACAAGAGAACAGCTGTTAGAGAAATATCTTATCAATAAGCATGAAAAGTGGGTGATCTCCCTACTATACTCAGGAAGTCTATATCAACAGTTAGTATAATTTTGAAAAATTAAGAAGCTATCAAAGAAGCTGATGTGGTTAAAGGTGTTAGGATTCTTGACCTCTAGAAGATTGAAAAGTATGAAAGAGATGGAAATAGACTCCTCTTAGTTTGCATAAATGAAAAAGTGCTCGCTGTTGATTTGATTTCTGAGACAACAATTGGTAAGAAGGCCAAGGTCATTCACAATGATTTAGTGAAAGGCCTGACAGTATTAGTGCTCAAAAGTGATTCGAGAACTTTAAGGAAACGACTGGGATCCATAGAGTTTGTAGGACAGAAGAACTGATTAATCCAGTTTTATTATTGTTAAGGTAAAAATTGCCTTGGAATTCGGTTTTGGAATGGATTAAGTTCGGATTACGAAACGCCATAGTATTTTTCTCTGTTAATCAAAATAAGTTTAACAAAATCTAAGCAATAGCTTCTAAAATTAATAGACAAATATTTGCTGTCAAATTATTTTAAATAATTTTTAAAATAATTTATGTTTAAAGTTCTTTTGCTGGCATCCGTCCGTCACAATGTGACGATGGAGTGGGCTTCGTAGGACGAAATCCACATAGCCTGGGATTATTATACTTGAAGGATTATAAACTGGTTCCCAACAGCAAATCGCCTCTCTCCACGCCGCTGGGTAACCCAAGGGAACATCATTGGATGATACAGCTTGGCACCAGTGACGTCGCAGGAGTTGTCGGAATGTTTCATTGTATCAATGTTATCCGCCTTTCGGGACTCCATCTCCGGGTTTGATTTCAGAGTTTCCTTCTCTTAGATGAGTTGCCATCCAAGGTTAACGAGTCCCATCTACCCGGGGTGCTGGTGGTGTTTTTGCTCTAGCTGAAATTGAACTCCAGACCACCAACTTGAGATTTACTCAGTTTAGACCACTTGGCTACCCAGCACCCTAAAGTTTAAAGTTCTATGCTGTTGGCAAGAGGTACCTTTTACTTTTAAAATATTACATAAAAAAAAACAACAAATTGTTTCTGTAAACCTGTATCTTTAAAAAAAATTAAAATCTTTTTAGTAGCTCATCTTAACCCTATAACTGTCATAACTGCCCCCTTTGTGCAATATCACAAAAATCGACATTTAATATGTGATAGATTTAATGTATATTGGTTAAGGGGCAATCACTGAGTTTCTAACTCAGTGTTAATGTGCTTTTAGCAAGGCTTTTTCATGATTAATCGGTGTGAAATTTACTAAGCTTTTTTTTTTACCAAGGTAGTGTCTTATGTTAGAGAGGGCCCCCTCTAGATTGCTAAATCAACAGACTTACTTTATTGGAATTATTTCAAATGGATGAATAAAATGAAAGCATGTGATTTCAGAAATATTTCATGTGCTAGCAATGACAGTATTACCCTAGCAGTGATGATGACATAAGAGAAGATTGAAAGAAATTTAAGTTTCTGTATATTCTGAAGAATTAATTTTAAAAAAAATGGATTTTAAAGCTTCATTTGAAAAGGAATTTTTTGTATTCATTTTGGATTTCATGCTTTCCAACTTATGTATGCCAGAAATTTGAAGGTGGTGAATAAAAATAATTCATTAAAATAACAATTTCCTAAATAAGTACCTTTAACATGACATTTTCTGAAAGAACATTGCTTCTAGTATCTTAAAAACTTGATTTTATGATAGTTTGAACAATTTAGGGAGCATTAGATTGGGTTGAATTCAGAGGATGAGTAGCAAAATTATACTCACTCTGTAAAGGCCAAGATCAATATCAATGTATATACAATAAAAACAAATTCTTTTCATACCGTGTCCAATGTACTATGTCCTGATTGCATAAGGACATAGTGCATTTTCATACCGAAAACAAAATGGACAACACTTGATGGAGCCAAGATGTTGAACACTTTCCCCCATGGCTTTTTAGGATTCAAAATTATAGGAATGTGCAGCCTCCAACAAAAGTCACATTCACTAACTGGTCGATCATCTATCCCCTTCCGTTGACAGAGTAACTTTCCAGAACTGACAAATTTTGTAAAAGTAGACAGCATAGCAGTGTTATATGGTGCCTTCTTATTAAATCACTTTAGAATTGTTCTGCACCTTTTTAAACTCTGTCTCCATTCAGAACCAATTATGCATGAGGGAAAGTAATGGTCAGCTATGAATATTTTTTCATCCATCGAGAAACTCATTTGTAACAACAAACTTCAACTGTCCCACATACCTTCCTTTTCAAAACTAGGAATATGTGACGTTAAAGATGCTGGAGTTTCAGCTTCAAGATATCATCTCATAACTTTCTAACTATGATTTTCTAATAGCGAAAAATGCAAATTTACCTCTCCATAGTTGCTATCAAAAATATATAATGGACTGTCATCTTTATTATGTTTTAGATAATCAGCAAAATATTTCAATTTTATCTTGACTGAGTAGCCACCATCATCTTCTCCACATTTAAAGCGTTGATTTCTATATTTCTTGGCTAGACGCTAGTGGATTAAAAAAAATTCATAGTGGAAAATTACAGACTATGGAGTTTTCTGTTTGGATTTAATAATAATTTCAAATATAAGATGTTCTTTTATTTAATAAAAGTGCTGAAAGAGATATTTGAATTTCATTTTAAAAATAAGAGTCTAATTAATTATTTTACACTTGAAAAATAGTTAAGTGTAAAAAAACTAAATAAAATTCATGAGAAAATGTATTAATAGTTTAATACTTGAGGATTCCACTTGTAGGAAGCAGCCCAATCTTTCTGGCAGTTGGTGATAACAACCGGAGTGTAGGATCTTTCATAGCGCTCTTGAAACTCTTCCACAGTCATCTGGGTGGCATCAACTCTTTCTACATTGTCTCTAACAATTTCTTTTCGTAGATCAAATGTCTCAACATAATTATGTGCATACCATCCATTAGACTCCTTATAAAGTTCTGCCAAAGAGAATAAACAAAACAACATGTCTCTTATGTAGAGCAAAGCAGAATACCAAAAAAAAAAAGTAAAAGCAAAAATTATTGCTCCTGGCTATTAATTTGTATTATTCCCATATCTTTTCAAGAGTGAAATTACAAAAATATTAGAAAATAGTGTAGAAAATTCATTAGTGAACCTAATAAAATAAATTGTCAGCTGCCCACTGCCCAATAAAATCAACGATTTGTTGATAAAAGTTCACCTGGTCTGGCTTTGGACTTTGCCTCCCTAATACGCTTACGAGTTCTGTGTTCCATGTCTTTGTATCCCTTGGTCTCAATGTTTGACTTAGCTATCACTTTTGGAAATAAATATTGAGTGGGCCTGAAGATTGTTTGAAGGTAATATAATTTTGAAATGAAAAGTTTTCTACTATTCTTATGGCCTATAATATAAGTTATAAAAAACAATGTTTAAGTTAAAGAAATAAATCAATAAATGATTCCTTAAGCTTCATTTTGAAATTAAATTAGTAAACTGTTCTGTCCTTCCATGTCTAAGATTTAGGCCTAGGCAAACTTAGCCATAATAGGGTCACAAAATGAAGTGATGCAGACCATACAAATACTTTATTAATGACAGACACTTAAAAATAAAAAAAAAAGACAAACCAACTTGCATTTGAAAAAGATAATAGCACTAAAACATCTAAAGGTATTTATAGTTGAAATTAATATCATTTTTCAAATTTAAAGTTGGTCTATGATAGTCTATGCTCTATCAATCACAAATTTTTTTTTTGAACTAAATTATTTTTTTTTACTGAAGCCGCTAAGTCTAAGGGTACTTTCCTCTACTCTAACTCATTGCCCTTATTATGTTTAGGCCCCTTAAGCCTAAAGGCGTTTGTGCTCTGTTCACTGCCTAATAATATGCTTATAAACTGCCCTAATCACAGATCTTATTTTAAATTTTAATAGGCTAGGGCCAAAAAGTAAAAGAAATTACTAGTTAGGAAAAATTCAAATATTATAGAAATGTGAAATTAGGCACTTACTAGCAGAAAGAAAAGAAGCCTGGCCTTTTTTATTCATAGTTTACATTTACTCATTTAATTATTTATTTAAAATAGTAGCAGTGCTATATAATTGATAATAGCGTATAGGCAACAATTTAAACAAAACAGTAAGCCAAATAAATGTATAGTGCTATGCCATAGTCATAGAGTTAGTATAATCATAAATATCGTGCCTACCAAAAATCCGGAGCAATGAAATTTATAAACAGCGAGACTCCGAGTTAGGGATGTAAATAAATAAAATACCAGATAATACGCAAGTCCTGAGAATGTCACATGAAAAATGAATAATCAAAATACACTATCCATTAATAAATACCAATTATTTTACTGTAAATTATACAAATTTACGTGCCATACACATTTTAAAAAATTAAAAATCTATAGTTTTATCGATATTATCTTTTATTTTAACTGTGATCATTTAATATATTTTCCAGAATTAATAGTCAAGCTGGCTTACTTAAAGTTAAGTAAAGCCCTCCTCATGGACCTGCTTATGAAAAAAAAGTAAAGAAAAAAAAATCATAGCAATTCGCACGCCAAACAAAATTTCCCAAAACGAAAAAATTCACCATTTGTAACATAAGATTAAAATCATTCATCTTATGGGTTTTTATGCAATAAAAAATTAAAACAATATATTTAATATACTTGTTAACATTAGGGTTTGAATTAATATGGTTACGCTACGGCTACGGCTCCAAGAAAATATTTTTTGTAAAAAGCTCCTTACGAATTACAACCCGGGACAACTGTATCAATATTGTTGACATCTTTCTTCTGTCCTTGTTTCTCGGATGTTATAATATAGAATCCGAGCTAATTTTTCGGTGAGAATTCGATGTTAAGCGTGTCATGGAATGCAGTGGTGAACATAGAGGGTGATCTCCAAAGAATAAAAATTAATCTATTCAGACGTCACGCATGAAGCTCGCTGCTTGACAGCCTTTTTCACTCAGTACTATTAATATAAAACAAGGGGAGGGGTGGTTTTAAAGAGGAAGCAGGACGCACCATAAGCATACTATATAGGAGATTTCTACTTTACCATTATATACGATTTGTGCATTAATGTACAGTATATTAAAGGTATGGCCGGGTTAGTTCATTGATGATAAAAGCCGATGTATTAAAAAATAGATGAATAACGTTAAGAGTAAAATCCGTGGTCACTGGATATTTGCACAATTTTGGCAGTTCACCCAGGTTGTCATTTAGTCATAGTTCTCCCTTGGAAATACCAGTTTTTTATCTCACATTTTACCACACTAGCTATTGAGTAAACAAGACAATGGAACACATGGTTACAATTTCAAATGGCGTAATAATATGGAATAAAATATATTTAAACAATTGTTTTTAAAAAAGGGTCCTCCATTAACAACGTCAAACATTTTTACGCAGTTATTGATACCCCCCCCCCCACGTCAATAACTGTCAAACTTTCGATGACCCCCATATTTAATTATGTCAACATTTTATACCCCGCCCCCCCCCCCCAAAAAAAGGAATTATAATATAAATATATGTATAAGTACATTTTACTTTGTGCTGATCTATTCAAATGACACATAAAATTGTAGGAGAACATTTTATTACATCTTTAGCTTGTTAATCAACAAGTTAAAAAAATTTTATACTTAAATTTTATAATGCAGAATCAATTAAAAGGTTGTCAAGAACTAGATATCATTTTTTGTGAAAGTATGAATATGATTATTGTCAGTATAGCTGACAATTATAGTATAATTTCTAGCTGCTATCATCTTCCCATGGAGTATCCAGATGTTGCTGTATCGTAACAATGGGCATCAGGGACATCAATTTGGGTAAGGCAGGTGGCATTTGCACCCCCCTCCACGATTTTTCTTGTTTCATTTAAATTGCTATGTACTCTGGCGTCAACAACTGTCAAACATTTCCAAACCCCTCCCCCCAATTTTGTCGACGAAATTAATGGACGCCCCCAAAAAAGACTTTCTATCAAAGACTATTAAAAACGCACAAAAAGGTAGATAATTTAAAATGCATTATGCAAAGAAAGGCTATGCAGAAGTGTAGATGAACACTGTAGGAAGTCAAAGAATTGAATGTTAACGAAACTTAAATACATTTTATTGTTTTTTAATTTTAAAACATATTTTCTGGACAGATTTCTTTGCGAAATAAATTGTACATTATGTTCTAGTTTTTAGTGCGTTTTCACTGAGCAACCCACTCTACTCATACACACACGCTACGGCTAAAAGCATACCCCCCCACACACTTTTCCCCCGGGGGGGGGGGGCAAAAACTGAATGAAATCAGTATACTTGATCAAATAATAATTGTCTTAAAAAATTTTGTGCTGCCAAGCATGGAGATCATGGTTTTGTTGGTAACCAGACAGCGATCGATCGCTATACAGACTCGACTTAATTATAAATATATTACGTTCAATTTGAAACTATTTAAATTTTTGGTAAACATTTTAGTAATCTGAAGTTTTGATAATTAATTAATTAATGTACATATTCGCAAACTATTTACTATTAGGTCAGTGGTACTTTTTCTGTTTTTACCATAACTAAATATTTATGTAAGAATTCTTTAATTATTAATTTGATATGAAGATGGAATGTATTAATTTAATTAACTTAAGAGAAAAATAGTACTTAAAACTTAAAATATCTAATACTGATCTTGGTAAATAGGGTGACCCACTTGTCATGTGATCAAACATTGAAGATGTCTTCTGCTGTGCTAAGCCCGTCCTGTTGTAATATACTTAATCTGAAGGTTTGCTTCATTCTGCTTGTAATACTTAATGCATCGTCGGGAGCAATACAACCAAATATTGTTTTTATACTTACGGATGATCAAGATGTGGCCTTGTTTGGCCAGGTAAGTAAATGTTAAATCAATTCAGAAGTGTCTTCTTAAACCTTCATAAGGCATAAGGCAGGGCCGTGCCAAAATGTAGGTGAGGGGGGGGAGGGGGGGTGCTAGCCCCGGGCGTCAGCTTGGAAGGACAGTCAGGGTTAAAATCGTCTTTAGTTAGGAAGTTAATATTGTATTAAAGGATAAAATCCTGGTAATCCACCACTTGAGACTTGAGCGTCGGCTACGAAAAATCCAGGGATTCCGGTTTTGAAGTGCTATTTAAACTATTAATATTTCGCTAGGAAATATCACCATGGACAGTAGAGAGAGGGTCACTGAGTTTTCGATATAGTGAGAGTGGCGGCTGTTTTATTATTGAAGTGCCAGACAGATGTGTGATCACGTTGCAAGAGTGTATAGAAAGATATATCCTTCTACTTCTAGACCCACTGATTGTGAGCGGCCATTGTGGTGCGTCAACAAACTTTTGTTGATCAATTTGTTTAAATTCTTCTTTTTTAAAAATTCTGAAATTGTTTTAATTTTTATATTAAAAAAAATTTTCCTTGGAGTATTCCTATTTTATAGCCTATGTGCTGAAATGAATAATTACAATGTCATAAAAATAACATTTCTTTTTTTTTCCCTTATATTTGGGGGCTCACGGTCAGTTTGTTGATGATTCTGGCTCCTGGTTTGAATTCAGAGTTTGCCTTCTCTTAGATGAGTTGCCGTCCAAGGCAAAGAAGTCCCATCCACCCAAGGGTGCTTGGGATATTGGCTTGGGTCTTGGGTGGGGATTGAACTCCAGCTATTTGGTTTGAGTCAGTTTAGACCGCTCGGCCACCCAGCACATAATTCTTTAAATAGCATTTTAAACCGGAACAAATTGATTTTTTTCATAGCAGATACCCAAAATCCCATGTAATTTTAAAGACAAGCTTTGCAAAAAAATCGCTTTTTACTGGTCAGTACCTGGGGGCGCTTTTTTCTATATAATTAATAAATATTATAGGAAATCCCTTATTTTAGTGTAATAAATTCAATAATTAAATTTTGTATTCATATAATCAGCTTATTTCATTATTAAACATATTTTTAGTTGAAACTATGATCAGTTTTTTTTTAACTTTATTCAATTATGTGTACGCTGCATTTGTCAGAAATCAATTTATAAACCCTCTCCAAATACTTTAAGAGACCATCCTTTTTAAAAAAAACAACTTACCTAGTTACTAGTACAAAAAAGTATGTGAGTGGGAGGAGGGGCAGGTTGGTTGGGAAGGATTGAGGTTATACCATCAGTTAATACATGTACTTCAGACCCCACTGTAAGCTGACGCCTGTGAGTCTGACTTAAGTGTCTATTTTTCCACCTTACTTTTATCATATGACTATGGATTTGGTGAGCAATAAATATATGTTATAGTAAATATTAAGTGTTTTAATGTGGTTCTATCTGAAAAATAGGATGCCTATAATTTATTTCAGTAAAAATAATAAATTTCACTAAAATAAGGGATTATTGACTGTTAATTTATACTTCATTCACTCCTTATCAATTATTGTGTCCAAAGAGATACCTTAATATAATGAAACAAGCACTTTAACAACTTCCATGTCAATATTATTTTGTTAACCCATTGACAATTCACATGTACTCACTTTTGTGTTCTCACTGACACCAAACACAATGTCACTCATCAACCATCAAGTAATGGATCTACCTCAAAATTTGGCCCAATTACCATCAGTTGTTCCCTTACCCAAAAGAAATAAAGAAATAACTTCATGCTACACAATATAATATCAACAAATCAAGGTTATAAAATAAGTGCCATATACATCACTAATGAACACTTATCCATCATGTATTCTGTGACAAATATCCACCTTCCAAGAATTTTTTCTATTACTTGACAATTTCTAAATACACAAAGCTCGTTCAAGTACCAAAACATTGCTTATTTCAATTTAATCATAAGCGCTTCCCCCCCCTACCCGTTTTCCACATTAATCAAGAGTTGTCATAAACCTCATCTACCAATTTAAACCCATGGCTTTTGGATCAACAATATCAAATAATTTACTACTATTCAAGTTGACAGCTAATAAGCCTTGCATGTGGTGTCTTGTAAGGATATTAAAGAAAAAACATTCATTGGTGTTGAACAGCAAACTGTTATCAAGCTCTCAAATCCTTAACTTTTAAAAAAAAAGCAACATCTACTTTAAAAAATAAACAAGGCAGTATTACTATTAGCAATATGTTTGGTATCCAAAGCAGAAATATTGAAATATTGTGAGTTCTTTATCATGTGTTGTTTCCGGCATCTGAATGACTGTAAGGTTAGGTGTATGGAAAACAGGTTATAAGTACAGACAAGTGGGCTAGAGTTCAGAAAATGAACACCATTCCCATCACTTGGGGTAGGTAGGAGGCTTACACGTCCCTTTTTTTTTTTTTTTTTTTTTTTTTTTTTTTTTTAATACCAAAGAAAGGATGGTGTGTTTTTTTTCTTCCTTATATGAAATCACAAAGCCCTTGTTATTTGTTATGGAGACTAAGCTGAATCCCAGTCTGCATACCCTTCCCCCACCCCCTCTACACAGCTGTAATTTTTATTTTCCATTTTATTATGAGTCACTAATTTTTAAATTGATTATATTTTTAGTACCCTATGCCAAAAACAAAGCAGCTAATTGCAGATTTTGGAATGACATTCACAAACATGGTAAGAAAGATCAAATGTTTATGGAGTTTAAATTTTGTTAAAAGCAATTTCTTTTACTGCTTTAATTGTTATTTATACAAAGAACAACTTGGAGCTTTTACTGTTTCCTTAACTTCAAGATATGTTACTATATATATATATATATATATAGCTTACTATTGGTTTAATCTATGTTACACAGTTTGTCACAAGTCCACTGTGCTGTCCCAGTCGATCCAGCATTTTAACTGGACAGTTCATACACAACCACATGACCACAAATAACAGCTTAAATGGAAACTGCAGCAGTCCTGCCTGGCAGAGTGCTGGAGAAAAGAAAACATTCCCCACTTTCCTGCAAGGCAGCGGTTATAAAACATTCTTTGCTGGGAAATACCTCAATCAGGTAGCATCAAAAGTTAGCTGTTACTAATATATTGGTTTGGAACAAATTTGTCATTTTCTGCTGGAAAATATATTTTGTATTTAACTTTTTGTTTGTTTATTTGTATAATTGTTCATTTAAAAAAATGGTGATTATGTTTTTCCTGTGCCTGATTCTGTCATAATATGCTGTGAGAAATATTTCAACTGTAGGGTTTGCTGTTATAAAATGTTTTTGTTGTTGCTCATCTCAGGGCAATGTTTGAGTCTTACACCATGAGTCAGATTCATACAACTTTTCATTGATGATAATCTTAATGCGCATTGTGATCAGGTATGAGAATCACTGCAAACATTTTAATAATTTTAATTGGGATATATATGTTGATGTGAATTGTAATTTGGTTTCAGTCAAACGGGAGCTTGAATGTATAGTGCCAGAAATGGGGCTGATTAGAGAGTATAAACATAGAGGGCATATATGATTAGATTAGAGAGTATACTATACCCATGGCTGTGATTAGATTAGAGAGTACGAAAATAGAGATTATAGTTATTCGATTACAGAGTATACCCATTTATGGCAGTGATTAGAGATTAATAATAATTTGAGACAAAGCTGAAGTATATAGTGCAATTGAACCAGTCATACAGCGCAGTAACTTTGAGTGTGGACTGCTTCATTGACAAATGCTGTTTTGCAGAAGTTAGTGTTACACAAATGGACTTAAATGATAGAGTTGACTGTTGAGCCTTTTATATCTTTAGGAGTAATCAGATATATCAGAACGAGTGTCCTGTGAAGTTAGGGAGAAAATCATGTCCTGTTGTCTTTTTGACATCAACAAAAGTATGAATTAATTAACAGTGAAATTTTTTCAGACCAGAGAATTTCTTTGGTTATTGTGTGCAACTAAAGTCTGCATATCTGACTAGAGGTTTTCATTGATAATTGTGTAAACTGACGTCCACTGACATTGTGTACAATGAAAATTGACCAATTATTGCGTACAACTCAAGCACAACTGATTTTCACTGATTGCTGTGTAGATGGAAGTCAACTGATTATTGTGTGCTACTTAAGTCCACGGTCTATTGTGTACAGCTGAATTTCAATGATGGTTGTATAAACGGAAGTACACTGATAATTGTGTGCTACTGAAGTCCACTGATTGTGTGCTACTGAAGTCTCCAGAGAATCATCACATCCTAAACAGTAGATCTTAAACATACACAACACAAAACCAATTATATCATTTACTGCTATTAATTGTAGTATGTCACACAAATCTATATTATATTATGTCAAATACATAATAATATGGCGTTGATATTTTTTATTATTTTAGTACCATAAATTGAAATTCTGTTTTCAGTATGGTACTCTGCAGGCTGGGGGTGTGGCTCATGTTCCACCTGGATGGGATGAATGGAATGGATTGGTCAGTAGCTTGTCTTGAATGTCAACGTGTACATTATGGGCTCAGTGGGGTTTTTTTTGGACCAATTGCAAATAAACTTCTTGGAATATTTATTGTATAAATATGAAAGTTTAATCTTTATGTTTGTGGGTGCAGCCTACCTTTGGCATAGTTTTAAAGATTATATTGTTATGTCCATATATTCATAGATTAAGTTATACTACCCTGAGTGATTCCCCTCCTCTGACCGATAAACGATCTTGCTGGCTGCCGTCCATGGTTTGCCTTGTAAAAGTTATGTGGTGGGGTGGGTGAATATACATTTTTTTGCTGTTCTTTATTTCATAAATGTATTTTATTTTAATGTCATGATTATGTCTCTTTTGATAAAAATTTTATGTACAGCGTGGTGAGCCCAGCCCTAAGCTGGGGTACCGTGCTATTTAAGACCCCTTATTATTATTATTATTATTCACAGATTATGTTGTTATGTACATAGATATAGAGACTATTTTTTTGTCCATAGTTAACGATATTGTTTTGGCCCATAGATATACTCTGATTATACAGATTATGTTGCTTAAGTCCCGAGATTATTTTGATATCTCTACAGGTAGGCAACTCTGTCTACTACAACTACACGCTGTCTGTCAATGGCAAGGCAGTCAAGCATGGGGACAACTATGCTTCAGACTACCTCACAGATGTCATTGTAGGTTCAGTCAACTACCATCTTCTTACTATCTCACTGATGTAACTGTCAGTTAAGTCAACCACCATCTTCTTACTATCTCATTGATGTATTTGTAGGATCAGTCAACTACCATCTTCTTACTATCTCACTGATATTGCTGTCAGTTCAGAAAATTTAATCTTTTTGTTTTCTTACATTTAAAAAAATATAGCTAGAATACTTATGACATGTATAGTTTTTTTGTAATTTGTTTGTTTCAAAAACATTTAATATAAATTGTGGCTAAGCACAATTCAGTTATTCTTGTGTAGTATTTTTAAATAGGATAAAATAATTTTGTCTAAGTTTTGAAGTTGGCTGTATTTAACATGTGAGAGTGTTTGATTGTGGATTTCTCAGATGAATTATAAAAAAAACAAAAAAACAAAAAACTTTCATTACAATTCTTGATGACAGCCTTTCATTAATTTTGCATCTGCCAAGAACCACAACTTATGTTATACAGCAGAGTTGTGTTCTCATTAAATTTTAGCTCCCATTGTTGTTTCAGAATTTCAAGACCAATTTGTTAAGAATTACTATTTTTATTAGTGTTGGGAAAGAGAACATGCCCCCACCAGTGACAGACTTGCATCAAAATTTGTTGTCATGCCTCAGAAAACCTCTTTTTCTTCTAAGTAACTCTTTGTTGAAAAGGGGATGATAAGTCATTCATGTAATTTTGCTAAATCTATTTTTTTTTAAAATCTTATTTAGACAGAAATCTGTATGTGTGAATTTTTTTTTTAACTCATCTCAAGCATAAAAAAGCTCAAAAATTTTTATCGGCACAAACTTCAAAGAAGCCATTTTTTATGATGCTGTCAACTCCAGCCTGTCACCAGCCTTTTACCCCTGCACCGCAGTACATGAAGAATTTCTCCAGTGTAAAGGCACCCAGGACCAAACACTTCAATGTCCATGGCCAGGTGAGTGACCCCAAACACTTTTATAACATTGCGCACAAATTTTACCTCGTTTACTAAACAACCCCTGTAATGGTTACCTAAGGTAATATAATTTTAAAGAAGAATATTAGCATAAATTTCCAAGGGGTTAAAACAGCCAATAAAGCAGGTATTGTTTTGATCAGGTTTTTTTAATGGAAGAATTATTTGACTTTATTTTATCATCTACAATTTTTTTTTTTTTGTGTAAGAGTTGATTTGCTTAGTTTTTAACTTACCTGGGTCACTGGCAGGTTTATTAAGCTGTTTATGCCACAAGTGTATGTGTGTGTTTAAGTGTGTGAACTGGGAGCATGCCGGTGATATTTTCAAGCTGAGGCCTGGGATCAGAGTTTCCTATGCATGAAGATGGAAACAAATTTTGGCTGAGCTTTGGATGCCAACCACTGGCATAGAAATGTCTGTTTCATTTTATGGCATCCAATCCTTTAGAAATAGGCCATGTGAAATTGGTGACCAAATATTAGTCAAATATAAATTTAAATACATGTCTTTTTTCTCTAGTTCTAAATGCCTGTTGCTTCCTACATTTTTCTCTAGTTCTAAATGCCTGTTGCTTCATACATTTTTTCCTCTTAGTTCTAAATGCCTGTTGCTTCATACATTTCATAACCAGGACAAGCATTGGTTAATAGAACAAGCCATTACACCCATGCCTAATGATACCATTACCATGATAGATGATTTCTTCAGAAACAGGTCAGTCAATATAGTCCCATGAGATTAGTTCTATTGGGCTTTTTTTGAATAGTTTTTAAAATTTGTTAATATCATGCAGAAATGATTAACCTTTTGAATTACTTAAAAGATACTACAATTAGTTATTAGACATTAAAATAAAACCTAATCTGTCACAAATTTGTGATGCTGCTTTGATTTCATTATCAAAAGATTCGCAATAACAATTTTTGTGTGAATGTTTGATAACATTCTATTATAGTTCAATAGAAATAGCCCTGAGAAAAGTTTGCATTAACTTAAAGTATCTGAATCATATTTATTTGTAGATGCCCCGTGATGCATCATTTGAGAATCACTGGTATTGATTGTATTCATTACTTTTAATTTTTTTTCTACCAATGAGATAATGTGTTTAGACTTGCAGAAGGCTTATATATTAGACCAAATAATTCTATGCTAAAACCACATCCAAATGACATGACAGATTTATTAAACCAAATAATTCTATGCTAAAACCACATCCAAATGGCATGACAGATTTATTAAACCAAATAATTTCATTCTAAAACCACATTTAACTGACATGACAGATGGAGAACTCTTCTGTCTGTGGATGATATGGTAGAGGGAGTCATCAACAAACTGAAGGCAATGGGTCAGCTTGACAACACTTATGTGTTCTTCACATCAGACAACGGATATCATTTAGGTCAGCCAATACATTAAAAACACATCAGACATGGTTATCATTTAGGTAAACCAATGGTTGCACAACACATCCTACAAAGCTTATCCTTTAGGTAAGCCAATAGTTTAAGAGCATCATATCAGACAACGGATATCATTTAGGTCAACCAATACATTAAAACACATTAGACATGGCTATCATTTAGGTAAGCCAATAGTTTGAGAGCATCATATCAGACAACAAGTATCATTTAGGTCAGCCAATACATTAAAAACACATCAGACATGTTATCATTTAGGTAAGCCAATGGTTACACAACACGTCCTACAAAGCTTATCCTTTAGGAAAGCCTATAGTTTGACAACACGTCCTACAATTGTTATTATTTTGGTAAGCCAATAGTTTGAGAGCATCATATCAGACAATGGTTTTCATTTAGGTAATCCAACAGTTTAACAACACATCAGACAATGGTTATCAATAAGGTAAATAGTTTGAAAACACATCAAATTACATTTATCAAATTAGGTAAACCGAGAGTTTGATAGCATCAAATCACTGTTATCATTTCAATGAAGCAATAGTTTGGCAACACCTATGTGTTCTTCAAACCAGACAATCGTTTGTGCCAATACAGACTGTAAGCCATTGAGATTGATTAGGGCCAATGAAGAACTTGATGATGTGGAGAGATTTAAAAAAAGTAATTTCATGATAGCAATCCTAATGAAAGGACGATTGATGATGACTTAGCTAATCCTAAGCAGAGAAAAGTTTTAGTATTAAAATATGAAATAATATGCAAACCATATCTATTCTAAGACATTTTTTTTTCAAATTTTACTTGTCACCTAAGGCGTTTTTTAAGTTTTTTTTTTTTTTTACACCAATTTCAGTGTTGTTTATCATTGCTTTTGTATTGCAGGCCAGTTTTCATTACCATTATAATATTCAAACCATATCTATTCTAAGAAATTTTTTTTTCAAATTTTACTTGTCACCTAAGGCGTTTTTTAAGTTTTTTTTTTTTTGTACACCAATTTCAGTGTTGTTTATCATTGCTATTGTATTGCAGGCCAGTTTTCATTACCATATGATAAGAGACAGTTTTATGACTTTGACATCAGGGTGCCTCTGATGGTGCGTGGTCCAGGAGTCAAAGCCAACACTACATCTGAGGTAAGATGTTTGGGTCTAGATACACATTGTTACCAGGTCAGATTCTTGGTATTAGCTTAGTACCTTGTGTCCACCTAACTCTGGATACACAGGTCAGATTCAGGGCGTTTGTACAGTACCTTGTCTGAATACACAGGTCAGATGAAGGAAATTAATATTCACTTGTTAAAGTTGTAGATGTTTCTGACTTCTTTTTTTTTAATTACAAAATTATGAAAAAAATTGACGTTTTGCAAGTTTTTCATTAAATTTGTTACATTAACTGATGTTGCTATCTTAATTGCGCCATTTCCAAACATATGGATTCAAGCTCAATCCTCAGGAAAAACCAAGACAAGCAATAAAACATCCCCAGTTGGATGGGACTCATTAACCTTGGATAACAACTCATTTAAGAGAAGGAAAACTCTGAATTCAAACACAGAGAAGGAGTCCCATAGGCGGTATGACATTAACTCAATGAAAAATCCAGCAACTCCTGCAACATTCCTGTGCTGAACTGCTATCATCCACACTTCATTTTTCTTGAGTTCACCAGATGTGCGGAGAGAGCGCATTTGCTGACTAGGGAACCAGCTTTTTCCCCTGAAGAAATATGTCCGGCAAAGTCTACGCCATCTTCACATTGAAATGGACAGGTGCCCACCAAAAAAAAAAAAAGACATGAATTATAGTTTCTATAATTATAAAAAATTTCTCTAACTGGCAGCCCAAACAGCTAATATTTTGGTCATTTATTTTTAAATTTTTTTGTTTAATATTTGTGAAAAGCAGGCCCAATTTTTTTATCACGCCCTAATTATACTATATTAAAAACAACTAATGACTTCAACTGTTCTTTTTTTGCCTTCTGTGCAAATTTTCATTTTGTGAACTCTGAAAAAGGTCAAGACTAAAAGTCTGAAGATCTCAGGTTAACACATTAGATCGACTTAGTGCAGATTGTGAAAAAAAAAAGCCTTCTTTCCCCATGACTTTTCCTCCAATTTGAGGATCTCTGGTTAACACGTTATATCCAAATAGCATAGAGTAAAAAAACGAGCTATCCACATGAATTTTTACCACAGTATGGGGGAAAATAAGGTTATGAAACAGTAAACTCAATAACTTTTTCAAGATGGACAATATTTATTGCACTTTCTTTAATTTAAATAAATGCATCTGTATTATTACAGCTAGCATAATTAACAGATGAATTATGTATAATAACATCTAAATTGCTATCAAATTCATCATTCGAGTCCATTTTTGACAAAATTACCCAAATTGATATGCATTAAAAAAAATGAAAAAAAACTCAAAACTTTAGGACAATCAGTCTTTACACAATCATACTTTCATTTAAAAGTTGTTCTTTATCCAATTTGGAAGTGATCTAAGTATGCATGCACAGCTAAGTGGGAAATCATTCATAAATTTTTCTTGTTGCTTTGTTATATAGTTGCCAGTCAGCGTTGTGTCGATATTAGGTGTTAAGAAGCGCTCTTATACTGTTGCTGAACTATACAGGATGATAAACATATATATATATATAAATAATTTGCAATATAACAGCCTTATGCACTTCCTTGTGTGATGAAGTAAAGCTTATTGAGCTACGTGTTAATGGCTGTGAACTTGTCCTATCATTTCATAACAGGAGCTTATCATGTCTGTGGATTTGGCGCCAACCTTTACTGACATCGGGAGTCTGTCGCCAGCTGTGGTCAAAAATTTTGATGGCATGTCTTTCCTCAAACTGCTTAAACCACAGTCTGTTGTTGTGAGGCCTAGGCTAAGGAAATCTCTGCCTAACATGTGGAAGAAGCGAAAAAGCTCACAGTCTATTAAAGGGGTTGAACAATTTTCCATTGAGCCAAAGATGATGAGAGAGTCTATTGCAGAAATGAAACATTGCAGATCTTGGCATCCAGTTACTGGTAAATGTATGAGCCTTAAACATGTCAAGTCTTTGGATGTCAAGGATGTCCATGAATTTAGTTTCCGAGATACAATCTTAGTTGAATATTTCGGTGAACATGATGGGGAAATACCCGGCTGTCCCAAGTACACCAATCAAGGCCTGTCTGTGAGTTTGGCCCAAGATTGATCCAACCTGGCGTATATATTGTTGCCTTCTGCTTTGCTTGGCTTCTGTTTTTGACAGATTTTTTTAGCATGAAAAAGCTAAATAATATTAATATTTTTTTTCCCTTTCATAAAGCTATATTAAAGGTAAAATAAAGTATCACAATTTGATTACAGTTTTGATATTTATCAATTGCCTTTGTCTTTCAACTAATCCAAACTTTAGAAGGAGTAAATAGCTTTTAAAAAAAAAAAACCTTATCAATAGTGGCATCATAAGCTCTTTAGAATCTGCCCATGTATAATAACATCCACTGAATGCAATGACTAATCAACTTGTCCTGAAATAGTCTATTGACACTACTGTTATAGTTAAACATGACTTATTGCAGACAACCACTTAACATTAAAAAAGTTTGAATTTTTCAAAATTAATTTGTTTAAAAATTATTTAATTACCTACTCTTTAAATTTACACCATGCATATTTCACAGACTCATTAATTAATTCATTACATATTTCACAGACTTTTTAATTTGCTCCATACTTATTTCACAGACTTTTTAATTTACTCAATAATTATTTCACAGACTTTTTAATTTACTCATTACTTATTTTCGTGACTGGCTATTTCATTTCTTCAATAGCTTAAAAATTATAATGCAGAAATTTAAAAAATGGGTACTTTAAGAAACAGATACTTGAGAAGCAAACATTAAACATTATAAATGTGTGCTGACTGGAAATGCAAATAATTGAAGTAAATATATCTTTCCTACTCAAATATCCCCAAAATATCCCTATCATTCTTTCTGTTATTAGCAGGGACAATCAGGGACAACATAATTGAAAAACTTTACTATTTACTTATCATCTAACACTATTAGTTCCCTCACAATTTTTGGACACATTATTCCAAAATTTACAATATAGTTCCTGCTCTGCACACTATCCTTATTCTATTTGAAGTGCTCACAAATATTTATGTACTCCTTACGACCTGTAAAAATTCCTCAGCGTGACTTGTTTGCTTTTCATCCTGTTCTTCCAACAACCTTCCCTAATAATCATGACCACCCAAGTTTTCCTCGCTCTGCTTCATCTACAGGAAAGTATAATGAATGTGGATTTAGCCCCCACATTTCTAGACTTGGCTAACCTGTCAGCCCCACCCATGTTTGATGGAGCGACCTTCAAACCAATTCTGGAGGGTCAACCGCATCCTTTCCGTGCCACAGTGCTCGTGGAATACCATGGTGAACAGTCAGAGGATGTGAACAATTGCCCTAAGTACAAGGACCAGGGTCTCTCTGTAAGTCTTTGACTGAATCATTGAACCATTGCCCTAAGTACAATGACCAGGTTCTCTCTGTAAGTCTTTGACTGAATCATTGAACCATTGCCCTAAGTACAATGACAAAGGTCTGTCTGTAAGTCTTTGAACCATTGAACCATTGCCCTAAGTGCAATGACCAGGATCACTCTGTATGCTTATGTCATGAAAATTATGTTAAGGACTAAGAAAATATTTTCATTTTCTTTTAAAAAATGCCTTTTTTTCATGCATTTTTTGTTTAAACATTACATTGTATTTATTAATTTAATGGATGAAATTTTTTTTAGACTTCATCTTTATCCAAAAATTCAAATTGTCATTTTTACTGTTGATGGAATGAATTTTAACACTGAAATAGACATTTGTTCAACCCACCCTTGACCCCATAAGTTGCTGCTTGGAGAAATACAATCTGCTTTCAAATATGCTTGTTATTATATCATGCTTTATGCTTCCTAACCTTTAAACTTTAATTTTAAAATATAATTTGCTTTGCTTGTCTATTTTGCCTGGATGGCTCATGCATATTCTATGTAAAGACAAAGTTTTGGTCTTTTTTATAGTCTCTTACCACATTTAAACTTAAAAATATATGAAAAAGAAAGAATGGAACTGATTTACAAATTATGAAAATTAATTTTAAGGGACATCATGTGAAACGTATATTTGCAAAAAGATCAACCTTATTTGTGTTTGTTAAATGAAACCAGTAGGAAATTTTCAATAAGTGTCTATTAATTCACTATGATGATATCATCTTGGTAACATTTAGATTCTAAAATATTCCAGATCCCCACAATGTTGAGAAATGTTCCATTAATTGATTAGTTTATGATATCCTCCCATCATGACAGAACTGTGACAGCCACTGTGTCTGTGAAGACTCTTGGAACAACACATATGGCTGCATACGTTACGAGACACAGCAGGAGAGTTACAAATATTGCGCCCTGCAGGACACTGATGTAGGTCATAGCTTAATGGGCAAGGGATTTTTTACTCATGTTTGTAGGTCTATGTTTGTCACTTATGTCACAACCATCAGTGGCTTAAAAGTATTGGCACATGTGATACCATTCCAAACCAATGCCGTCAATTATTTCAGTACTTTTTATTCAATCATCAAAAGTATTAGCAATAATAAAATTTTCTGGGCTTCGACTTCCAAAATATATGTAACATAAAAAATTTTGTAAAGAGCAATAAAACAAAAGGAATTGCACAACATTTTATTAATTTTCTAAACATTAAAAGTACAATCTGGAGTGTAGAGAAATGTAGTCAATGAAGTGAAGAGAAATAAAGCCATTGGAGCATATAGAAATAAGGCCATTGGATCATATAGAAATAAGGCCATTGGAGCATATAGAAATAAGGCCATTGGAGCATATAGAAATAAAGCCATGGGAGCATATAGAAATAAAGCCATGGGAGCATATAGAAATAAAGCCATTGGATCATATAGAAATAAGGCCATTGTAGCATATAGAAATAAAGCCATTGGAGAATATAGAAATAAGGCCATTGTAGCTTATAGAAATAAAGCCATTGGAGCATGTTGAAATAAGGCCATTGGAGCATATAGAAATAAAGCCATTTAAAAACCCGTTTTATATTATTCATGTTTGCAGAATTTTGTTGAAGTCTACGACATGAGAGCCGACCCATATGAACTTACCAACATTGCAAAGACAGCATCGCCAGATCTCTTGACAAAGCTGAGCCAGAATCTTGCTGATCTGTCCCTGTGTGCTGGTGTCACCTGTCACAAAAAGAGTGAATATTCCGTCATAACAAATTAATTGTTCTTGTTATTAACAATTTTCTTACTTTTTTTTTGTTTGGTTACAATTTTTCTTTACATACCCAAAACTTTTAGAACTAAAAATGAAATGTACACTATCTTTGAGAAATAATCAACAAGATATTGAGGGAGACTCTTCTGATTTTATAAATCTTTTCAATTTGTTTGGTGGAACTCCCTGGATTTGATGTCATTTATGAAAATTTAAATTTGATCAAATTTCCTTCAAAAGCTTATCACTGCATTAACTGATCAAAGAATTTGTAACTCAGAAAATGCTTTAACTTAAATGCTAAAGTTGATCAGATATTTTTCTCATCCCCTTTTTGCTATTTTTAATTGGAACATGAGAAGTTCATTTTAATTTTTTTTCTAAGAGGGTTCAATTTTTATTTCTTTTACTTTCTTTAGATTTCAATTTGGAGTCTCCTTTAAAAATTTTATTTCTAGTATTGGGACTTTAACTTCACAATTATAAATGTGATGTGTGCCTGGAATTGGGTGGTAACTCAAATGTGAAACTTTAATTTAGTTCCATTGATAATGCTGGGATTTTATTATATGCCTTTTCTTGGATTTCTCTGTCTGTTTGTTAGTTTGTGTGTGTTCAAATCTTGCATCTCAATATCGACCCACATCCTGATCTCCAACTGAGCTGAAACTTTGTACACTTACCCAGCCCCGATGACAATAGAACCCTTCATGATCAGTAGGTCACCAGTGACCTCCACTGACCCTTGTGTGACCTCTGCATTAATATCAGTGCACTATTATGCCAGGTCCCAATTCATTCAGAACTATCATGTTTGTTCATGATATTACTACTCCCTACGGTATAATACACAAAAAGTATTACCACTTTTTAAAAAAAATTTAATTTTGTACTCTTCTGAAATCATGTTCCAGTATATTAGCTTGTGTTTTACATCTTCCAGGACTAAAAGGTACAAAACAACACATGTATTTTCAAAAAAATGTTCTAAGAGCTGTACCATAAATGCCCCCCAAAACCTCACAGTTGTCACAGTCATATATGACCCAAAAAAAAGTGCGGGGCGCCTATGGACTCAATGTTCTTAAAAAATTGAAAAGACATGCACGCAACATTGTGTTTGTCAAGTCATACGACATTATTGCAAGTTGTTGCTGCTAAAAAAAAAAAATCAGTTTTTATATATTTTGATCGGTGGTAGTAGCGGTAAATGTTTTTGTGGTGAATTTTGTATAAATTATGGGGTGGGTGGGGGGTGATGATGATGCAGGAGATGTTTTGAGAGGGAAATTAGCCTTCAAAACTTTTAGATCCATGCCGTAAAACAGGGGTCACCAAACTACGCCCCGCGGGCCTGATCTGGCCCATGAGGGCAGTTCATCTGGCCCAATGACGGTATTTGAAATTTCTTGACAAAACGTATGGAGCACAAGACCTTGTGATACAATTTAAATTTCAATATTATGTTTAGAATACTTGGAGATATTCACACGTGCTGGCAGCTGTGCACCTTAAATTTTCCATTTTCAATTTTAAATTATTGTATCTAGATTTTCTTGTTTATTGCAGACTTGTTTACCCTCGAACTCCTAAAATCGTACAATATCGTCTCAGAATCGTACAATAGGGTATCTTAATAGTAAATATATAACATACAGTATATTTAATGAATACAATAATTACTCGCATCGCAGTGCCTAGTTGAAATCGAGTTAGGCTGGTGTAAAAAAAGTTAACTGCTAAAAATATCGTACCGACCTTTCCAATACAATCTGCGGCCACTTTGTTTTGCAGATGTGTATTTGCTATTGATATTCATTTATTTTTCATGTGCAGATCACATTATCTCAGTCTGTCATTGGTAAAAATAAAGTTACTGGTGACTTTTAACGTGGCCCAAACTCGAAGCCAGATCAGCATAAAACATCTCCTTCTTTGAAAACTTTTTTAGTAAATAAATATGTTTGCTGTCTTTGCTTTTTTTTGCATTGCAGCCACTCACCCATGATTAACAGGGAATACTAAACTTAGTTTTTCTTCTCTTATCCCCATAGCTTTGGTTCTAGCTTGCATGTATTGTACAGAATGATTATCCGGCCTGCGCTCGTCATTTTTTTACGCTATCCCGCCCACCGTGAAAAAGTTTGGTGACCCCTGCCGTAGAGCACTTATCAAGATCATGCCCACCCCCTGTTAAGTATTTTATGTTGCATCCTTCTTCACGTGGTAGCCATAATTCTATGAGTCCCATCTCCACATTTAGATATAAATTCTCACAACTGTCAGTGTCACTGCACCCCAATTCTTCTCCTCCAGGGCGTCATGTAACTTCATCAAAACCATTTTTCAGACATCGCATAACTCAAAACCATTTCTGTCAGTAAAAATGACTGTGATCATATTTTAAAATTGTTAAAATAAAATAATTATAATCACTGTATAGAAGAATAATGTTAAAAATGTCTGTAAGTGTTGGGTGAAATTTTTTTTTCAAATAACGTTCTGCTTTTTTTATGTGACATCCAATTGCTTAAACCCTGCCCCATCCTCACACAGTCAAAAAAATTTGCCCCCCCCCCTCCTTTTCTGATACATGACATCATTTATGGTTGGCCCCAAACTGCATAAGATTCAGTTTAACAAAATAAGTCTTCGTTTTGGTTGATATTGCAGGTCAATCCTGTTTTTTTAGTTTATCGCACTTAAAGCAGAAACAAAATGTTATACTTTCAATGGTACTAGATTTGAAGTTATTGAGACATGTTGGAACGTTATACTTCCATAGATACAAGATTATAAGTTATTGAGATATGTTGGAATGTTTGTTTGATGGAGGCTAAGGAATAACATGTACTACATGAAGAACATTAGTGTGATGTGGATCATTTGTCAAACTATGCTTTATCGAAGCAGGTTTGACATTGTGTTTCTCCTGTCATTTATTTGTCTACTAACGACATCTAGACTATTGATCAGGGTTGTAATTTTTAAAAATTATTGGGCATTAATATCATCACTATTAATTTGTTTATGAATCACAATTTAAGTCTCAATCCAGATAAATATTTCATAAGAATTTAGTTTTAAAAATTTCATATTTTTCTAACAGGGATGACTAGGCACATACAATTGTTTTTTTTTAAAATATTTTTTTGTATTTTTACATAAGTATTTTTAAATATTTTATTAATGTTTTTTTTCTTCAAAAGTTCTGAACAAATTGTTTAATTTTTAAAATGATCTTTTTCTCATCAAATAACAATTTAAAATGTTTTATTGCTGTGTCTGAACTGCAGGACTGATTTGATTACAATGTACTAAATGACTCTTAAATTGTTTTGTAAATCTGTCAATTTTATATAAGTCCATATTTGACATTAGTTCAGAATTATTTATACTCGTAACTGTGTATCTGCTTCCTCTAAGGAGTGCACTGAGTCTACCCCTGATCTGTCCAGGGGTGTGCCCTTTAGCTGCGCACTGGGTTGTTTTAGTCAAATATGCTGCTCTGACCACACTGACTTCCCAGGGGAAAAGAAGTAACTGCCCATGGTTCACACATGACTGAATGTTTCCAGGTACAAGAAGGGCTAAAATACACAGAAAGTTATCATTCTACTTGAAGCTGTCTGAATATGTTTGAAGTATGCATATATTTATTCCCAAAGTTGGAGTTTATGTCTTTCACTGTGGCTTCATTTTTTATCACACGTCTCCTAATGACATCGAAGTAGCCTAAAGATATAACAAAATACTTCTGTTGTCCTGCTTTTTTTGGTATATAAATTTAAGCAATTTTTACTCCACCTCTCTCACCCACTCCCCTCTAACTCCCACTCTACCCATCGCATTGTGTTGTAGCTAAAACTGTTAGATATTTAGTGTATGGGGATGATGTGATCACATGATGAAAGGAGGGTGTGATCACAGGATATAGTGATGATGTTATGATAATGTGATCACATTATGAAGTGATGTGATCCCATGATGTGGTGACGATGTGGTCATATGATATGGTGATGATGTGCGCACATGATATGGTGATGAGGTGATCATATAATAGGCTTATGATGTTATGGTATGATATCGTTACGATGTAATCACATGACGTGGTAATGTTTAAAAACTGTTGAAAAATGTTGTTCTTGCCAAACTGACATGATGTTGTCATTTCAACTCATGTAAATAAGTATTAAACAATTTCGTTTTTTTTCAACATAAAATTATACATGTTTATGTATTATGCAAGATGATACATATTTACCTTAATTCTAAATGAATGATACATTCCATCTTTAGTCCAATAGCACTACTTTTGTAATGTTAAATATTTTAATTAAGAGATTAAAACATAAATTAAACTGTTATATACTTAAAAACACACAAAGTCAGCTGTTAACTTAATACGCCCATGACCTCTGCCTAGGACATGCTATAGAAGTATTAGAAGCATACTCTTTGCATTATAAGAGACTGCTTATGGCAGAAAATGTTATTAACCTCCCAAAAGATATGGGAAATCTTAATGTTTTTATTTATTTAAAATATTTTTTGTGGTAACTTATTTTATCTTGATTTGTTCAGATAAAAAAAAAACAATGGCATTTGATCACTTAATATTTTAATTCTGCACGCCTTTCAGTTTGGCCTTTGCGGTTGTAGGCCGTTACACCTCAGTGACTGTGTAGATACAAATTGGCTGTTCAAATTCCAAGGTGTTTCAATGATTTAAATATACTGCAAAAAAAATGATTTATCATGCAGGTGCTGTGGCTGTTTTGGCATGCTCTCTTTCACTTTTGTTTGTTTCAATAATTCCATTTGTGCAAACAAAATTTATATCAAACATTGGGCAAATAAAAGTGATTTCACTATCTTCCAGTGGATTACATTGACGTATAACTTAACTGTAATGAATACACACAGTGCTTACAATATTTCTCTCTCCATCTCTCCCTTTTCTCTCTTTATTCTCTCTTGCTCTCTTTTCTCTCTCTCTACCTTTTCTCTTTATTCTCTCTTGCTCTCTTTTCTCTCTCTCTACCTTGTCTCTTTATTCTCTCTTGCTCTCTTTTCTCTCTCTCTACCTTGTCTCTTTATTCTCTCTTGCTCTCTTTTCTCTCTCTCTACCTTGTCTCTTTATTCTCTCTTGCTCTCTTTTCTCTCTCTCTACCTTGTCTCTTTATTTTCTTTACCTCTCACTGTTGCTCTCTTGATGCAGTGTAATTCCCTCTGGCCACCAGAGGCTGACATGTAAAAAGTTTGGTCAGCTTAATTAGAGCACATGCATAGCACATCAAATAGATCTCTTAATTTATTGATTATACTTTATTGGTGCATTGGATGGGGGGGAGCTGGTCCAAAACAAAAAAAAAAAGTCCATCTAGAATTTTACAATGTACCCTAGAATCTAATAAAATCGTTAGCACAAAGGGCGGGCACTTCGTACACCCACATTAAATTGGTTATTTCCCTTGGTTAGAGGAAAAAAATGTCATTCTTGGTCGGCAAGGGATAAATAAACCTTGCCTCGAGTGAAAAAGTGATGATTGCCTCAAATGAAAAGGTGATGGTTACCTCAAGTGATTTGAAGATGTGTCGCTGTCATGTTTGGACTTATTGGAAAAGAAATAAGTATGACACACACCCCCCCCCCCACCCCATCCCCCCCTTAAAAAAAAAAAAACTACACCAATAAATTTCAAACCAAATCTCTTGCTAAAAGATGACATTTCAAACAGGATCCATGCCAACTTTATGTAGTGTAGAGATGATACAGACGGGCCTGTGGTGTTCAGATATATGAGATCTCATAACAGCGAGAAGTAAGTACCAAAGCCATCAATGTAGTATTAAGCTTAGGTACCGGGATAAATACAATTTCAACTGGACGAGTGAGCAAAAGCAGATGAGACGAGCCATGTATAGGATGTATGAGTAGTGTGAAGGGAGCAGGTGTTTGTGTGCTAGTGGTGCAGAGGGGAGGTGTTGGGCGCGATAGATTGAGAGCAGGGGCTTAGGCACGAACGGTGCAAGGGTTGGTGAGCAGGTGTTTGGGGGCGACGAGTACAGTGCGTAGGTGTTATGGCCTGTATCACATGTTGACCTAATTTGACTTAAACGCAGAGCTAAAGTGGCCACCACTCCTCTCCCCTTGTTAATGTTTTTGATTGTAACATCACCGATAAAATGTGTAACGCTTGACCAGACTCTCCCCTCCATTGAATCGCAAGAGACTGTTTACGTTGTTCCAAAGAACTCTATCGGATGATGCAGTTTCTAGAATTTCTTTTCTGGAGGGTTCCAACTCATTCCTTATACTTATAAGTAAGCCGGCAGCTTCCATAGGTGAAACGATTATTATTTTTATTTTGCGATATTTCATAGACACGAAATATATTAATAGGAGTCGTACAAGATTTTACTCTTTTTGTGTGTGTGTGTGTGTATGAATTAATATTAATTGTATCTCTTTGGGGTTTTTAGTTTTTCATTTGCTGTGCTGTAAGTAAATATAGATTTTATATCTTTCTATTGGATTTTGTATTCTTTAAATAAATTGAATAGCAAAATTAATTTGAATATCACTAGCTTTGGTACCGTTTTTCTTTGCATACTGGTTTTCGGTCCTTTGTTGCGTATTGCTAAACAAACGAGCCCAATCTTAAAACATTAAATTTGCAGAACCATATAGCGGTACCTAACAGTAGACTATCCGTAACTTTGAGAGGATGACTATTTTTTGTTTGTTTTATCTTTAACGTCTGTTTGCACCATACAACCAACCCCCGCCCCCCCCCCGAAAAAGAAAATAAAGCATCATATTCTCTCTGGTGTTCATGTCCTAAAGTGGGTTTGAGATCCCTTCTTCCATTTATAATGTTGATTTCTCTCTCTCCCCTCCCCCCACCCCAACCGCATACCCATTTCCGATGTCCTAAAATGGGTTTGAGATCCGTTTTCCCATTTCTTATGTTGATTTGCTCCCTTGTAAGATGCAATTAAGCTCCCAATATTTACAATTACGGTCCGGTGAAGAATCCAATTTATTAGCGAATAACCCCAGAACACAACTCAATCTGCATTGAAAATAAGCTGTTCCCAGCAGTAAAAAAAAATGACAATTTTAATACACATTGCGCAAGGGTTCTATCGTTCTCATAGATGAATAGTGCTTTGGGAGTGGAGAGTTTGCGTGTTTGGGGTAGGGATATTTAACATGACTTTCCATTTTTCTTGTTTATTTTATGGTTGGAGGAAAATGATCTCTTGGCGTTAATTATTAAATTTTGGCTGTACCAAGATTTTCGTTTGACCACGGCAGAATTTAATTCAAGAGTTCTTGGACTCGGGCTTGTATTTTTTTGTTTAATTTATAAAAAATGACAGTTTTAAAATATTTTTTTTTTAAATGCATTGATTGAAGCAGAGTGATTGTGGAGTTGAGAGCAATGAGACAGGTCATTACGATAACACTCTGAATGGCGCTTTGACACGTAACCCGAACTTTGAATGGTACTTGACATCTATCCCAAACTTTAAATGACGCTGACATTTAACCCTAACTTTTTTGGGGAACTTTTACATCTAACCCTAACTTTAAATGGCATCTTGACATCTAAACCTAACTTTGAATGACACTGACATCTAACCCAACCTTTGAAAGTAAATTCGAAAATAATCCCTTCTTACATCTTTAAAATTAACTCCCCACCACCCCACCCACCACTCACCAGAGCTGCAAGAAGAAATCCTTAAGTTTGATGTATTGCTACCACCTTTAAATCCCCAACACCGTTCGATCCCTACACCAGGCATGTACGGCCAACACCACAACCTTTGACAATCCCACCCTATATTGAACTCATACCCCATCTTATATCGAACACGTTTAAAATACTATATTGAACACAAACAACAATTTATATTGCACATATATCACACGTTATATTGAACTCATACCCCATCTTATATCGAACATATACCACACCTTATATTGAACACCCACAACACCTTATATTGAACACATGCAAAACATTATTATATTAAACTAGCGATTATCATAACATAAGTCAGTTCTGTCATTGACCACTATGAACATCAGTCAATGTTAAGATCAGTCAGTCTTAACATCAGTCTGTCATAACATCAATCTGTCATAACACCAATCTGTCATAGCATCAGTCTATTCCGCCATCTAACAATAACATCTGCTTGCGCCTTCACAAACGCGGCAAATTTCCAGCCCCCTTCTCTTAAAAAGAGGCAAGAGATTTCGGTAGCCAATTTGAAATTGATAGCCTCCAACCAGAAGTTTGCCAGGCGATTGTTCCTTCAATGATGAGGGAAAGCCGAGCCGCCGCTTCTAGTGACGTTAAGATTACAGTGAATTGAGACGGAGTATTGTCCCGTTGAGGCGGTGTATCCTTTGCTGTTTATCTGCTGGTTAGCGACCAGACGGATGGCTTTAAATGGATTGCTGTATAAATTGTTATATATATTTCTATAATATATATATGTATTGAAAATGTCTATTGCCCCCCTGACGAACTTTAAACATCAAATGGTTTTCGCATTCACGTGTCGAGTCGATGCATTGGCGTGTATGTAATAAGTATCAAAATGATACAGTTTGAAAAAGTTGGTTTGGGAATGGCAGCCGTCTAGGTGAACATAAAGCTATCCCGGGTAAACCACTATGATGATATATTCCTTAAGTTTAAATATTTAGTACTTGGGGTGGGGGGGGGTAAACGCCAGATGTATCACGAATTAACTACTTTATTGATTCAATTTGAAGTATAAATAAAAAGTATATATTACACAGTGCATCTGTGTGACGGTAAGCGCTGTGACTGCGTCATTGCGTCTCTCTTGGATGGGTTTTTTTATTTATATTTTTTCCCCCACGTAAATTAATAATCTTTGAAAAAATTAAGAAGCAATTTCTAAATATTTAATTTTATAAAAAAATAAACGAGTTTTTTGAAACACAGCCAGGTAAAGGCAACCTCCTCTGACCGATAAATGATCTTGCTGGCTGCCGTCCGTGGTTTGCCTTGTAAAAGTTATGTGGTGGGGTGGGTGAATATACATTGCTGTTCTTTATTTCATAAATGTATTTTATTTGAATGTCATGATAATGTCTCTTTTGATAAAATTTTTATGTACAGCGCGGTGAGCCCAGCCCTAGGTTGGGATACCGCGCTATATAAGACATCTTATTATTATTTCCACTAGCACCGCCTCTGTTGCTCTCCGATTAAGTAAAGAATGATTTTTTAAAAAATCTAAATTCAGATACGCACCAAATGCATCTCATAATTATATCATGGACTTTGAGTTTGCCGCCACCCCTACTAAAAACACGACACACACACATGTGTATATATACAAGGAAACCTGAAAATATCAATCCTTGAAATAGCACCGTCCCTGACATGTGCACTTAGTTGCCCTAGCACGGAAAAAAAGGGGAGGGGGTGGTAATCAAGGGCACTCCTAAGGCTACCAAACCAAAGTTTGGGCCCGGGAGCAGGGAGGGGCTCCTTTTTTTCCCCAAGGGGTTTAATTGTCCCCAGCACGGTCGTTCTAAAATCACTATCTGTGGACAACGAATATACAGCCATGTGTCCCTATGTTAACTCAAACTCCTTAATCCGACTACCCATCATACGAAGGAACTTAAACATATGATAATGTTCCGAGACATCATCTCAGTGGTGGATTTACTATAAGACCAAACGAAACCAAGTCTTTTGTGTAAGAAATAGGGAGGGGTGGAAAATAATAAAATCATTGAAATTATAAATAAAATATTGTAGAGATTTATTGTACTTACAATTTCATGCATACAATC